TGATGGGAAGCCCACAGGGATCACAACTGAGACGGAAAAAGGCACAAAATGATGTAAAAATAAACTACTATATTAAAAAATTATATTAAGAGAAAAGATAAATTTCTGTATATCTATGGAAATTATTTACCTACCTTATCGATTACCTTTCATTGTATATCTATCTTACATTAATTTCTTCTTCAAATAAATGACTATTACTTTGACAAGAATAAAAAAGATTGTAAAGGGGGGAAATTAGAGTCACCTTATAAATGGCATCATCATACTTTTCTATACTTTCTATTTCTTCATTTTTAAAATACCAGTTCCCCCCTTTCCAAAGGTAGAGCTCTCCTAAGAAACTTCTTGTAAGTCAACGTGATGCAAAGTGACGTAAAGTGAAGAAGCCGTTACTACTGTTTTATGTGGAAAATTTATAAGCGTTTCCAGGACTGCCTTGCCCCAAACAACCTACCAAATAATAGATCAACCCTAAAATAACACACATAGTCAGCAGCAATGGAATGTCACGGGGATGCATGAAGTAGCAACAGTGTGAACCGCGCAGCATCACTTACCACACAGGAGAGCAGAGTGAGCACAGCGGGAGGCAGAGAGGGACCAAGGTCGGTGTTTGCCTGAGTCCTCGAGACTAGGGCACAGGAGGTCCAGGAGGCTGGGGTATAGGAGAGAAGAGAGCGAGGGTCATCTGTTACCATCTCGCCTGGGTCCCTCAGGGCAGCCGCTCTAAGTCCACACCTCCTAGGTCTGGCTGCCTTGGTGTCCAAGGTCAAGGCTCGAGGCCTACTGGGCTGCAGGAGAGGCTAGAAATATGAAGCTGCAGCCTCACCTGAATCCCAGCATCCATTCTTTGTAGGCACAGGTCAGCCTGTGGCCATGTCCAAAACCTCCGCCCTGCTCAAATAAAGGCCGCCTGTCTGCAACCACTGCAGCCTAGTGAGTGGCGCCCAGACCTGCTGCAAGTCCTTTTCTGAATGTGAATCCAGCACCTAGACAACTTCTCTCAGGTCATTTGCAGGCGCCGCTGGGTTCTGATTCTTAATCTTTCTTCTAGCAAATGCATCACCTTTCATTAGTTGGTGCTTGTGCTGAGAGGCCAAGCCCTCTCACATCATTCTGGTCTACCACCTCTGGGTGGCTGGCGGTGCCAAGTGCAGCCTGGGAAGGAGACCAGCAGGGCCTTTGCGAAGCCCAGGTAGCAGCTGCGGCATGGAGAACCAAGTGCCGCAAAACAGACAAGTCTGCTTTTCGGCTTTTGTTGTGAAAGGGGAAATTCTTCTTGGAGCCCTTCAGTGACTGGAAACAAGTGCACAGGCAGGAATTTGGCAGCAAGTTGCTGTTCATAGGAGCAGAGCAGCCCAATGCAAATTTCAAAAGCAGGGATATCAGTACTACAGGGCACCCCACCCCCACCCCCACCCCCACCCATGGAAGTGGCTTGGTGACCTGGCTTGTGCCTTTTAACAATAATTTAAAACACAAAGGAAACGTTGGGGGGGGGGCGGGATCAGATTCCATCACGGATGTCTTGAAAATATTGTTTAAATATTTTAAAAGAACATTGAAAATACAAACTACATTTTTCTGGTGATTCTTGGAAGCAAGTTAATAGAAAAAGAAAAGCAGTCCGCCGCGGACCTGGAGGTAGAAGACGTTCCTGTGTTGAATAAGAGAAGGAAGTTGGCCTGAGTACAGATGGGAGATCTGTGAGCCATAAAGAAGGAATATTTAGTTAGTTAGCAAGTAAGTATGTGATTTGAGAGCCACTGAGATAAACATAAGGGCAACGGAAATTTTTCTCACTTGCCAGGTATTTCAATTACTCAACAAATATAATTGCCAGTGTACTAAAGACTAGGAGCTGGAGATGAAACTGTGAAACAAGAAGATTACTGGGGCCTCCCAGATGGCGCAAGCAGTTAAGTCTCAGCACCCTGAAGCTGTCGGCAGCCCCTGCGGCATGAGTTGGATCCCCGGCCAGGGCGCTGACCCACATGGCGAGGCAGACCTCTCCTGCCTCCTCGCTGCTCCCCTCAGCAGTGTACTTCATCGATCTGCCTGTTCTGCTCCCCACTCTGTCTCTGGTGAAGCCTCTCACCCCTCACTCTCGCACCTCTGGCTTGCACCACAGCTCTTATATGCATAAGTAAATAAGTCTTAAAAAAAATAATAATAAAAGGCAGCTGGAAATGAAATGCTAAAGTGGGTTCTTTAGAGTGTAACACTTGTCTTTTAGGCAAGTGTTACACTAGCTTGTCTTCTAGATTGCTGAGTGTCTGATTAAAGCCTACTTTAAAGATGCAATTCCTGTCTCTCCTTTGTTAGCATTCAGTGGTGACAGGCGGCCTGAACACCAGTCTTCCGGTTACCATACCACAACACTGTGAGGTGCGTATTATTATTATTGGCATATTTTGTACAGGGAAAACTGAGCAGAGCCATATTAAGGAGGTTGCTTAGTGTCAGTGTTGGGGTTGGAATCTCACTTCATCAGTTCTCTGAGCCACAGTTTCTTATGAAGACAGAGCATTGGTCTATGTGATCTCTAAGTTTATTTCTAGTCTAAAAACCCTACGAATCTACAAGGCTTTATGGATGGAGACCCTGCCGGGACAATTGTGAGGTATTTTGAGTATGTGACATACTCATGAAAAGTAAGGTTGGTACCTTGGGCAGCTGCTTTCATCAGACTAAGGTTAGGGGAAACTGAGGCAAATAAATAGTATCCTGACTTTCACAAGAACACCTGAAGCAGAGTCTATGTTCTCAGGGGGCTGAGCTGCCAAAACAAATTTCTAGAAGAAGTAGATCATTCTTACCACCTCAATCCAGCTCTCCTCAGTGGCTCCACTTTACACAATCGGAAGTGCACAGTTTGCTTCTCTGGCTAGGAAATCGCTTAGTGCGGTAGTTGCAGACTAGGTCGCCTTCCACTGGCCCCGTGACTCCCTGCACTATCGTTTCCCTAGAGCCCTGGAGTTTGTTACTGTTATTTGCCTGCAAGTTTGTCTTGAACTTGTTGCTTCCAAACTCTTGTCCATTGTGTTTAGACTACACTTCAAGCACAGGACTTGCCGAGGAAGTTTAACTTCCAGAAAAACAAAGTGATCTTGTGTGTGTGTGTGCGTGTGTGTGCGCTTTGCTCTTGCCTTAGGGTGAAGTCTGTGCAGCTCACACCTCACAGGACAGTCAGTAAAGAGGTGATCAGGGATAACTGAGGCTGGGGGACAAAAGTGGAATGGTTGAGAATGTTGCCCTCCATCAGGCTTCTTGTGGACCGATTCTATGACACTTACTGTGTGACCTTTCATACTTCCTTAACCTCTCTGTGCCTTGGTTTATTTTGAAAAGGAGAAATATAAGATGACTTTAGATTTGATATTAGGATAAGATTACATGTCTATAACACACAGTTAAGCACTCTAAATATTAGCTGTGATAGTTACTATTTATTCCCTGGAGGTTTCTCTCCATGATTTATTAATCCTCTGATTACAGAAGGTCAGAGTTCAGTTCTCACTCTAAGAAAAGTGAGACCTAAAGTTTTCGGGGGAATTTGAGCCTATCATAGAAGTTGTAAATGATGATCTAGACTTTTAGTTGAGTGCAGGCCTGTCTGTGAGCTCTTCCCACAACCTTGTGTTTGCCCAACCTATTTTATCTCATTTAAGAATTAGTGCTTCAGGCCCTCCCTGGTGGCGCAGCAGGTTAAAGCACAGCACTGAGAAGCTAAAGCCACTTCCGCATGAGTTCGATTCCCGCCTGCCCCGGAGGTGACCACATGGTGCGGCAGACCTCTCCTGACCCGCCCGCTGCTCCCCTCAGCAGTGTACTTCCTCGATCTGCCTGTTCTACTCCCCACTCTGTCTCTGGTGAAGCCTCTCGCCACCCCTGCACCTCTGGCCTGTGCCCCAGTTCTGTATGCATAAATAAATAAATCTTTAGAAAAATAAAAAATAAAATAAGAATTAGTGCTTCAACCGCAGACACAGCGCGGCTTACTACTGCCCCCTGGTGGCCTGGTGACGTCACTAGCAGCTCTCTGCCAAGAAGCACGTGAAATTGTTTTTGACTTTCCTGGACGCAATATTATCTTCAGGCGAGCCTGAATGGGGAAAATAATAAACCCTCTACATAGGGTTCTTTTAAACTTTTTTTTTAAGAGATGTATTTATTTATGCATACAGAAGTGGGTACAGGCCAGAGGTGCAGGGACGATGAGAGGATTCACCAGAGACAGAGTGGGGAGCAGAACAGGCAGATGGACCAAGTACACTCCTGAGAGGAGCAGCGGGTGAGACAGGAGAGGTCTGCTGCGTAATGTAGATCTCTTCCTTGGCTGGGGATTCGAACTCACGCCAAGGTGCCTGTAGCTATAGCTTGGTAGTACTGCGCTTTAACCCATTGAAGCACCAAAAGAACCCTCCATGGAATTTTTGGAGAGATTCAAATGAGATCTCAGCATGTGTGCAATCTAATATGGGGTATCTGCAGTCATTGTAGTAGTTTTAATTATTCCCCCCGAGTTCTCCTAGCAGAACTTTGCTGGAGGACTGTCCCTTAGAGTTGAAGTAGCCAGCAGGCCCTGACCAGGAATAAGCAGTGTGCTGTGGCGGTGCGGTGGAGGGCTCTGTAGGGCTCCTTAGGGTTCTGCACAGCACTATTTGACTATAGCCTGGATGGGGAAAGGGGGGGTGGGATACCTGTGGGATCAGGTGGAGCTGGAGAGAAGATAATCGGTCCTTCTGGAAATAAGTCAGTACAAACTAATTGCAACAGGGCCTTATCGAGATTTCTTTGAAATTCCCTCCCCCCTCCTTTTTCTGCCCCAGGGACTCTCTCATTGTTTAAGTGAGGCTTTTTTTTTTTTTTAAGCCTCCAGGGAAGGTAGCCCTTAGGGACTTGGGGCTATAAAAGCCCAGTGGAGTTGCCACTAGGCTTGCCTTCTGCCTTCTGGAACCTTCTGCATCTCCAGTGCTCTGTCTCCTAGTCTTGCCATGCTGGGGAAGCTCTTCCTCCTTCTTGCCGGGTGTGCCACCCTGGTCTCGGCTGCTCCTGCATCATCCCCAGGTAAGTGGCTCTGAGGAAGGTGTTTCGCAGAAGAGCAGGGCTCAAATTCTCTCATGGTACATAATGCTGAGAGCACAGTCAGACAGACCTGCTGTGAGCACTGTTACATGAAATGGTAAAACTTAGGAGTTGATGTTAAGGTGGGGATAGATGCTTTGCTCTGAGGCTTGGCTCATTGAGTGGCTAAGATTTGGGTTGTTAAAAAAAAAAAGGTTTTGGGTTGTGTGTGTGTTTGAGTGGAGCTGAAAAAGAGTGGGATAGGTGGGGCTGGAGTAGAGAATTGCTGAATATTTTCTGGATTCACATTGACTACTGAGTGTTAAAGAGGTTTTATTCTATTCAATTCAGGTACAAAGCCTTATGTCCTCCTATAACATAGTAAAACACTGGGTCTCCCACAAGCAAATCGGCCTAGAATGAAAACTTGGCTCACTGAGAAAAGGAAGCCGTGGTGTCCTCTGAAATCAGAGAGAGGCGGGTACTAACCCCAAAGCCATGTTCTCTAGTTTCTTCCTGATTCAGGCCCGTTTTTTTCAGGAAGAGAGTATTCATTTGCATTAGAGTTTTTGTTTTCCCTGTTCTCCTTCTGCTAGCCCTCCACGGAGCTGGCCTGCGAGGTCCCGCATGTGAGTGAACGATACAGCAAAGGGTCTAAGTGAGGGTGTTCAAGATTTTGGCCTCAGTAGAGGGTGCCCCTGACCTGCTGACTTAGGCAGCCACAGTGTCTATAACTTTCACTCTGCCCAAGCAAATCTGATCCTTTGTTCACCAAGCCCACCAGGTTATGGGAGGTTTTGTGGTTAACAAGATCCAAATTGCTTGGATTGGTGCCTTTTATGGGAAGTTTGAAAAATGAAATCCCTTTATTTATTTGTATTTTTTTTAGATTTATTTTTTTATGTATTTATGCATACAGAACTGGGGTACAGGCCAGAGGTGCAGGGGTGATGAGAGGATTCACCAGAGACAGAGTGGGGAGCAGAACAGGCAGATAGACAAAGTACACTGCTGAGGGGAGCAGCGGGCGGGCCAGGAGAGGTCTGCCGCGCCATGTGGGTCACCTCCCTGGCTGGGGATCCAATTTGTGCTGCAGTCAGCTTCATAATGCTGTGCTTTAACCCACTGCCCCCCAACAGGCAGGGCCCTACATGACCCTTTAAACCATAGGAGTAGCTGCCCATTTTTAGTGGATTCCACTCTTGTCATACACTTTGGAAACAGCCATTTTCTTTGCCGCTTACATACTTATACTTACTTATTTACTTATAAGGAAAATAGCCATTTTCCTAGCCTCTTGTCTTATTTTAGTTTTTAGGAACTTGAAAGGATTCTAGAGGAGAAAGTCTCTAGAAGTTCTATTCTGTTCCAGTCCACCTAAGTTCCCTTTTAGAGTCACAACATCAACTACTCCTCTTAACTGACCCCTGAGAGGGTGCTGGCACAGGGCACACTGAGGTGCCCTGTCCAGCTGGCAGTTGGCCTTTGGGCTTTCTAGCATGTGGCAAGAACAAAGACTTGGGGTGCCACCTCATTTGACGCAACAGGCCCTTTGATGGTCCATTTTTTCCCCAGAAAAAGATGTAATGGGGAATAAGAATATGTAGAGCTGGTACAAATAGTCCTGTTAGAAAGTACCCGAGCTGCTCTTTTCCTTCTGGCTCTTTTAGAAATCACCGGTGACCCCGACAACTATAATGGCATGAAGCTAACTGTTCAGGCCGTAATGGAAATGGAAGAACCAGCCACTGAGGCAGACTCCCCCCGTGAGGTGAAAATAATGCTGAGCTCCCACGACTCTGATGAAGAAGACAGTGATGAAGACAGTGATGAAGACCATAAGGTCGACGGTGAAACAGAAAACAGTGACGTGTTGGCCCATGACTCAGCAGACAGCGGTAAAGAGGACAGCGATGAAACAGACCTGACCACGAGCTCAGACTTCACCACCATGGCATTGGCCCCTGTCCCAGACATCACTAATGACATTGCAACCGCCGCTAATATGTATTTGAACATTCCCACTTTTGGTAAGTGAGGGTTCTGCCTTTGGAGGCCTGGGTGGGAGTTGGGGTGGAGGGGTGGCTCCCATTTGTGCATTCCCGAGGGAAAGCGGCTTTCCTCTGATGCACGCGACTCCCAATGTTCGTGATTCCCAATGTTCGCTGTGGCCACAACCCGTTTCTGCTTTCTTTTCCTGGAAGCTCCTGTTGATAAGGAATCCAACACCCATATCTTTGGGGAAGAAGCTACCGAGGCCTCCGGTAAGGCTCCTGTCTATGAAGACTCAGAGATTTCTCCCCGGGTCACTTTCCTTGTTTCTCACTCACTGGCATTGGAAATATCTATACAAATCTCCAACATTAACTTAATTGCAGGTGAATCCATGTTCCCTGGTGAAAGCCACGGCCCTGAGCCCAAAGCACATCTTGTTTGTAAGTTTCTTCTCTTGTCACTGATCCCTCCTTAGAGATTTGATACCATTTTCAATGCTGCCTTTAATCCCCTGGAAAGGGTTCCAGATTTTAAACATTTCCCAAGTGCTGAGGTTAACTAGGTAATTTTACTTGGAGCTTAACCACAACCTCTTGTTTTTCTGAGGTTAATCTTCAAGTCTAATTGTCTGGCTTTTTAGTAACCAAATGGGATAAGAGTCGTTCTTCAGTGTTCCAAGATTCCTTTCTTCTTGATCTCTCTAGGATGTGGGTTCTAGTAAAGAGTGCCTGCAGAAAAGGAATCTGATTCTCTGATGCATAAAATGTGTCACTTAATTAACATCTAGCTAACAACCTGTAATGCTTAAGAGTTAAGAGTTCAGATCACTATCAACATGCATTTTGGGGAGGGGAAACCTTTAAAATGGTTTCTTCATACAGTAAAATGGACATCTGGACAGTGTCTAAACATCTTACGTTAGGCAAGAAGAGAGGAAGGAAAGAAAAGGAGAGGACTTAATACCTTAAAAAATTTCATGGTTACACCTGTGGTGTTGGTGGGTGGAACCATGAGCTGATCTTTAGTTCAGTCTCTTTGGTTTCTTTTAACTAGTTTTCTTTTTCTTTTCTCTAGAAAACAAAGCAGACCCTCCAACTGCTCTACTAATCATACCTTTCTAGCAGACCCTGAACGTGACAGGTTATGAGTGTTTGTACAAGACTAGTGAGACATCGCTGCACCCAGCTGAAGCAGAGTGGAGGGTGCGGTACCCCGGGGGGTCACTTCACCACTTAACCTGTCCTGTGTAATCTGACTTTAATAAATGTTTACTTGATGAATTCTGAGATGGGTTTTTTTTTAGGCGACACATTGCTCACTCACCTTATGTTAGGAGCCCTTCTTTACGCATGCATACAGAACTGGGGTACTGGCCAGAAGTACAGGGGCAGTGAGAGGATTCACCAGAGACAGAGTGGGGAGCAGAACAGGCAGATTGATGAAGTACACTGCTGAGGGGAGCAGAAGAGGTCTGCCAAGCCATGTGGGTCACCTCCGGGGCGGGCGGGGATTGAACCTGTGAGGAAGTTGCTGTGGCTAGTCCCACAGTGCCACACTATAACCTGTTGCACCACCAGGGAGGGCCCCGGGACCCCTTCTTGATGGCCAGGTAAAAGCATGAAATAAACTTATGTAGGGGACTTCCTAGGGGCCCAGGGGTAAGTCTTAGTACTGATACTACAAAGGGCCCACAGCCATGGCCTGAGTTCAATCCTGGGTCAGAGAGCTGACTCACATGGCACAGCAGACCTCTCCTGTCCCACTCGCTGCTCCCCTCAGCAGTGTATTTCAGTGAATCTGCCCATTCTGCTCCCCACGCTGTCTCTGGTGAACCCTCTCACACACCCCTCTGGCCTACACCTCAGTCCTTCTACACAAAATAAATAAAATAATGAAAAATCTTAAAATAAAGGAAGGATTCTTAAAGAAAGAAATCAAACTATGGAAAGCAAATCCACCTTCTACTGTTCTAACAAATGACCACAAACTTGGCAACTTAAAACAAGTGTACTATCTTACACGTAAGTGACTCAGAGGCAGAAAGTTTCCTTGGAGGGTAAAAACCCAGCTGTCGGCAAGGCCAAGTCCCTTTCTGGGTTGTTTCATATACAGACCCTTCCCCTTGCACTCTCTCCTTGGCCCTCTCCCGTCTTCAAATCCAGTGATGACTAGTTGGCCACTATCTCATCCGCCTTCCTGTTCCACATTGATAGTTCTAAAGAATACACTGGGGGCGATGTGGATCACCCCAAATAATCTCTATGAAAGTCAGTTAATTGGCAGGCTTCATTCCCCTTTGCCAGGTAACAGAACGTCCTCACTGGTTCTGGGAATAAAGTGAGAATCCCTGGGTGACTCATTGCTTTTTCTTCCTACCACAGATAGGATAGGACAGAATACTCTGGACCTGGTTTGGGTCAGGAGGCGTTGGGGGAGGTGAGATACAAGCACCCATGCTTTTTTTTTTTTAATCTTTAGTTCTTTGTGAACTGGTCTTTAGAGTTTATGTAAAATTAGTGGATGTACTTCACAGCATGCTCATGTAATCATGTAAATGACAAACCATCACGGCAGAAGTTTCCTCTAGCGTGGTGTACGGATTTGGGAGTGGAAGAGGGGGTTCTGGTTCAGGTCTACAGTGTGGACCCCTGTAAAACTAAATGGTCAAGCTAGGTCTTTTGCTCCTGTCCAGAAAGCCAAACTTTGAACCAGGAGAAATGGGGTTACATGGAGGAGTTCATTGGAGATGGCCTCCAGGGAGTCTGTGGGATAGGCTCCCCCCAAATATCTGCTCCCTGAATGGGGGGAGACCTGGGTGATAGAAACAGGTGAGGGGGGTGTAAGGGAAACATAGGGCTTTGCATTTCCAGGCCCCTGAGGCGCCAGGCAGTCTGGGCCCTAGGAGTCAAGGTGTTGACTTTCCCTGCAGATGCTTCTCAGCAGATGTTTGTTTCTGATGCCACTATCAACCCTGGGACACAGGGAGTTTCAATAGGAATGTAACACAGTCTTCAGGCCCCCAGGAATGCAGGTAGAGCCAGTTAACAGTTAATCACAGAACAGGGTGGGGAAGGGAGAACGAAAGTGGTTAGAGTTTTAGTCTTGGGGTACTTTTTGTTGTTGCAAAATGGAGGAGAAGCCACTTTAAAGTAAGTCAGTGGGTCCTCCCTGGTGGCACACTGGGTTAAAGTGCAGCACTATGAAGCTGTCTGTAGCCACTGAAACATGAGTTCAATCCCTGGCCAGGGAGCTGACCCACATGGCACAGCAGACCTCTCCTGTCTCACCTGCTGCTCCCCTCAGCAGTGTGTGTCAGTAGATCTGCCTGTTCTGTTCCCTACTCTGTCTCTGGTGAATCCTCTCACTACCAGCACCTTTAGTTTGTACCCCAGTTCTGTATGCATAAATAAATGAAAATTAAAAAAAAAAGAAAGTGAGTAAGCAATACCAAAACAATTAAGTTCTCTCTCTCTCTCTCTCTCTCTCTCTCTCTCTCTCTTTTGCTATATTTTAAGAAATAATACACAAATGTTCAGAATCATTAACTTAAAAATTGCTAACATACTAGCCCATCTTGGAGAAATATTCCATGTTCACCAGGAAAGTTTTTGTACATCATGCAATGATTTCCTTACTCATACGATGACTGTACCCAGAAAATGTGAGATTTTAGGGTTATTCATCCTGGATCGTAAAATCCCTCATCTCAGGGCTTTTCTTCTAAATATGAAAAGTAGTTCCATGATTTCAAAGAACTATTTTTTCTCATATCTATTTACTTGGTCTTCATCTACCATTTTGACTCACAGTTTCCAGAAGCTCTTAGAATTTCCTAGGTGTCCTGAGCAGTAAACGTGCCTTTTGATGTATGAGTAAAAGTAACCTTTGGAAAGCACCTAAGGAAGGGGGCAGGTTGCTAGGGAGGAGGGTTGGAATTTCCAGCCCATCCAAGACCCCAGGGAGGGGGAAAGGGAGAGATGTAGAACTGATTATTCTCTCTATGGAGGAGGGAGGTTGAGTTCCATTGCCAGTGAGCAATGGGGGATCAGTTATATGAAATAAAGACTCCAGAAAACCTCATAAGGAGGGAACAGGAGAGAGCTTGTGGGGTGGTGTGCATGTGGAGACGTGGGGATTGGGAAAGGGGTGCACCTGGAGAGGGCTGGGGGGAGGGTGTTGGGCTTTGTCCCCACAGCTGCCCCGACCCCTCTTCCACCCGCTCACATATCCATTCCTGTTCTTTATCATAAAAGGGTGTTTTAGGGAGTAAATGCTGGCCTGACTTCTGTGTGTGGTTAAGTGTTAAAAAGACTAGATGTTACCTAGAGCTTTCTTTTTTAAAAAGATGTATTTGCTTATGCATCCAACAATAACAGCTGGAATGTAAGCCAGAGGGGCAGGGAAGGAGAGGACTCACCAGAGATAGAGTGGGGAGCAGAACAGGGGGATCTACTGAAATACACTGCTGAGGGGAGCAGCGGGGAGACAGGAGAGGACTGCTGTGCCATGTGGGTCACCTCCCTGGCCGGGAATTGAACGTGAACCCTCGTGCAGCAGTGGCTGCGAATAGCTTCATAGTGCTGACACAACCCCTTGTCTTTGTGTCACCAGGGAGGCCCCTTATTTAGAGCTTTCTTGACTGGTTTTCTGACACCACTCTGCTGGAGAATAAGAATAGAAAAACTGGAAAGGAGGCACCATAAAACCAGAACTGGGCTCACACAAACCAAGAGCTGGAGCTGGGAGTAGAAGGAATTTGCACAGCCATTGACCCAGCTGTAGAAGCCCAGATCTTTAGGTGCCAGAGCCAAGCAGGGAGCAGTCTCCTTTCACACTGGGGGTGTCAGTGGAGACCCGCTGGGGATCAGTAAGGATGGACTCCTGACAAGGTGGGGGCTAGCAGAGAGACAGTTCCTCTGCACACCCAGAAAGAGGAATCCCTCACTGGCTTGGGTATCAACAGAGTTGGGGGTAGACCCCAAAGGTTAAGGTATGGAGATTGAGCCCACCGGGGAATCTCCAGCCCCTTTCAGATTCTACATAGTTTGTTCAACATCCATAGCAAACTGATAGCTTGTGCAAGTGAACAGTTTCCCTCCCTTGCAAAAGAAGATAACCCTCACCCTGTCCCCACAAAGGGCCGCTCTTTCTGCTCTCTGTGTCTGTGGGAACGTCCTTCTCTTTTCTAATGAACCTGCTCTTAACTATAACCAACATCTCTGTCTCATGGAGAAACTCTCCTGGGAAACTCTGGGTGCCGTGGAAAGAG